GTGATACGTACGTGATAACAATAATAATAATAATGATAACAACAACAGCAATAGTAATGACAGTAATGATGATAATAATGATAATAATAATTGCGAATATATATATCAACATTATATAGAGAGAGATAATAATGAAAATAATAATGATATGAACAACGACAATAATCATACTAATACTCTAATATATATATATATATATATATATATATATATATATATATATATATATATATATATATATATATATAGCTTTTTCACATTTTTATATGGGGTCGCCTTTTTGGATGAGCCGCCCCTATTACAGCTCTTTCCATATTGGTTGTGGCCTGGGTTTTTACAGTCGGATGCCCTTCCTGACACCAGTCCTTTCTATTTATCAGGGCTTGGGACCGGCACCCACAAAGGCTCTCTTGCCCAGGTGGCTTTTACACTAGGCAGTTAAGGTAAAGTTCCTTGCTTTGTGTGTGTGTTATATATATATAATATATATATATATATATATATATATATATATATATATTAATATGTATATACATTTATGTTTATATATATATACACACAATCAGTGGCTGCGCTGCACCTGGTTATACCAGATTGCTTGCCCTGCGACACTTACTCGCTTAGGGCTTTGCCCTTATGTAACACAATATCATCAAATGTGAAATAAAAGAGGGATGTTATAAAAACAATGATTTATTTATCTAAGAGTCTACAGATTTATATTGTGTCTTAGACGGCTCGCTTTCATAAGATTCTTCTCCATCATAGTCCTTTACTGCGTCGAATCGGTGTTTAGGAGATCTACAGCCATTATCGATATCTTCATCACTCATCCCCTTAATTATAATGAAGATCTCGAGTTTCTCGTTGTTCTTAACGAGTTTCTATAATGTTTTCTTTAGGTTCCTCCAGTGAATCTTCAGTATTGGTTGACACGGGATCGTAGCCGGGTAAGATCATCTTAATTGGCTCCTGTTAATTTGAAGACTTTTTCAGGAATAGTAATTGTTCCGTGCTCCACCTTTCCTCCGGAGAAGTCAGCTGTTGTCGGTGTTGTCTATAGGTTCACCTCTCCTGTTGTGATGATTTTGTCTAGAAACAACTCTTTATACACAACATTGCGTGGCTCCGCCGTGGCTATTTCGACGTTTTCCTTAATAGTTCCAGTATAGATAATCAGAGAATCCCACTTAGTCACTCGTGAACATGCGAAGTACAACTGTTCATGGGAGAAGCAGTCTGCTGTATCTAACAATAATCCACATCTCGCGAATGTCTGACCCTGAGACTGGAAATTGTTTTTTAAGAGTACTGGTGATATATAGATATGAGTTTGACTCTTCGTATGGCTATTCCCTACAATATTCTTCTTTGGGTTTGTAATGATCAATCTAGTGCCGTTACAGATCTAAGTAGGATTTATGTTATGAATGACCATCATTACGCACCCCTTCAGCTTAAGCTAGTGAAGTGGTAAATTGGGGCTTTTCATTCTATTGCAAACATAGATTCTTCATCAACTGGTAGATCTTCGCTTCTATACATCACTTCTGTACCCTTAATTTGGTCATAAGTGATGCCGTTCACTTCACCTACATTAACGTTATTTGGTGATATAATTGACTGCTTTTTGAAGTAAACGTTGTTCATATTTTTTTTTCATTGTCATCGTACACGTTTTCAACATGAACACCAAACTCCGGTAATTGCGCTTTTCCACTTTAAGCCAGCAACTTCTTTGCATATGCAACATTAACGGCATCTATCTTGTTTAGTCTAACTCATCGTTCTTTCCTCCTCCTCTAATGACAAGAAGGATTTGTCTAAAATACGAATGGTATACCACGGATGGATGCATCTTTCTCTGTTATGTCTATCAAAGTGACATCAAGAGCAGCAAGTGTTCTTGTTAGCCAATACTACTTCATCCCATATTATAACAAATGTAGACAAAAGTAGCTCCGCCATCTCCATTTTCTTTTTGATTCTGCATGATCTGAGCTCATTAGATTCTCTTACGGGTATCTTGAACATATTATGGGCCGTTCGTCTCCCGTCAAGCACTGTAGCGGCTATACCCGAAGGTGCTGTCATTAAAGCTATCTTAGTCATTAACACACACACACACGAACACACAAACACGCACGCACACATACATGTAGACCACAACTTCCACAGGCGCCTCTGTCTACGCTTCTTCGCGACTTCGTCTTCAGGCATTGTAGCAGTATTATTCTCAATATTGTCGCATGACATCCTAAATCTCCAAAACACCGACACCGCCGAGATAATTTCTGGACAATTTTGAAAGAGTTATATTATATGTGAAATAAAAGAGGCATGTTATACAAATATTGGTTTATTTATCTGAGTACAGATTCATGTTGTTTCTTAGCCGGTTCGCTTCCATCAGATTCTTCTCCTTCTCCTTTTCTGCGTCGAGTCGGCTTTTAGGAGATCTACGACCTCCATAGCTGTCTTCACCATTCATCCTCTTAATTATGGTGAGCGTTCAAATGGTTTGTCACTTCATGGTGCAGTAACGTCGATGCTAGTTGATTCGTCTTGCATTTATCGAAGAAAAATGTTAGATGTCATCCTTTCATCATAAAACACCATTTTCATTCTCTAGATACCTTCATAGGGGTGTCCCCAAACACCGTCACCGCCCAGGCCATTTCCGTACCATTTTGAACATTTTTAAACATTCTGAAAGGGTTGTCATTTCTGAACCATTTTGAGCAAATTTCGAAAGTGATATTTGTATTTACATATTCACTGTGTGTGTGTGTGTGTGTGTGTGTGTGTGTGTTGTGTGTGTTGGTGTGTGTGGTGTGTGTGGTGTGTGTGTGTGTGTGTGTGTGTGTGTGGTGTGCATACCCATGTGCGTGTGTGGATATGCATTTGTCTGTGCATATACACACATGCACACAAATTGAGCACAAATGTCTTCCCTGTGCCAACTGGAGCATTGATGAAGAAACCATTGTATTCTCCCTCTTTGTCGCTATATGACATGATTGTGTCAGTGCTTCTGTTTCTTGTTAAGTAGCACCCATTTGTCATCAACTTTTTCTGTTAGTTAGTCTCTGTTGTATGCCTTCTCTCTTCTGATTATATTTGCAACTTTCTCTATTTCTTGAAGAAGGCAGACCATATTGTGTAATTTGGCCGCCTCCACAGTTCCAAACGTTCTCTTGTATCTCGTCTAATGCATCCATGTAAATCTCATCATTATAATCATCACGACTACTTCTAGTGAGGAAATTGGTAGAAAGTTGTCTTGTCTCTTTCCATATGTTAAATTGGTCTTCTAGATCAGAGAACACTAACATGCTGGCATACGTCACTCTTAGCTGTTTTCCGCAGTTTGTGTGGTTAATAATCTCCAGAGTAGTCTCCAACCATGTGGCTTCATCATTCAGTAGTCCCATACGAATCTATACGTGCTATATTTAACATCTATTGTTCTCAGGTCTTCAAAGGATGTAGGACCTCTCTTGTGCGTCAGTAGCAAATATATATAGAACAGTTCTACCATTCTGTTGTTTACTGCACATATTCTACCTAAAGATGACGTTGCTCGTGAGCGTTCCATTCTTATTGTTATATGTGAAATGGTTTGGCATTTCATAGTACATTAATGTCGATGCTAGTTGATTCGTCTTGCATTTATCAAAGAAAGATGTTAGTTGAGTAGTCGCAAGTGTCTTATTCTCAATACCTTTCATCATAAAACACTTCATTTTCATTCTCTAGATGCAGATCTAATGACATTACAGGCGGAAAGCTCTTATGTATCGGGAACTTGAATACCTTCCATGTAGCCTCGTTTGCATTAACAAATCTCGCTTCAAAACAGTTTTTTACTCATTGATTTGTGCAACACCTTCTCCTTTCTAATAGAGTATTCTGTCGCATCCTTTATTATTGTACTTTGTAACATAAGCTATGCATTTTATAGAATCTGAACATTCAACATTGATGTGTGCGTTATACTTCAAACAGAGATAAGGGTTGTACTGTACTACCCAAGAATTAATAATAGTATTGTCAGTTCTGTTGATTCTCTCAACAAATGAATGGCCTCCGCTACCAATTGACCTTCTTTTATATAAAGGATAACCGGTTACCAAAAAGATCATCTCTGCAAGTTTAAGATTTATCGCCAGCTCCAAACTTTCCTTGACAACATACATTTAAATCATCGAATCCCTTACATGGGCCATGTATCATGCATTTTGTTGCTATGTCGAAAAATTTAGGTTCTTTTGTCTTATTGGGTATCTCTGCATATTATTACTGTAAATAATTCTTGGTCTACTGTATGCTCCATCCAAGCCAATATATGCACATGAAGCAGTCCTCTCATCTGTCACTCCATACTATAAAGATGCACTTTAACTCAACCAAATATAATTTTGTTTTGTTAAATCGTCCATGAAAGAGTCTACTTTAATCTTGAACACATAACTGATTATATCTTGTCTATTTTGCAGTTTGGATGTGTCGCGTGAACCCGTTTCTAGCATAGCTTTTGAAAGTTCTTCCCATTTAGGATTCACAGTAGACGTGATGAAGAAATCAAGTGAACCATAGCTCGTTCCGAACGCTAAAGTGTCTTATTGTTGTTGCTGTTTCATGTATCTAGGCCCACCTATGAAAGTAGGTGATATGATGATCTGCTGCCCTTTTCCTTCTGTATCACATTTTTTTACATCAACTCGCTCCTTCCTTACAGTGGTCTGGTTGAATCTAACGAAGTTGAGCCTTTCAGTTTCTGCTTTAATTAATATCAACAACGAATTGTTGGAATAACATGCGTCCTTTTGTAATATAATTGAAGGTTTCTACTCTTTCCATGTA